CACATTTATATATGTACATCATCTCGGATAAATAGACATCCATCACCGCACTTAGATCTTACAAACATTATCTAAACTTGTCTGTTTATCTGATAACTTTTTACTATCCTTTACTGCGCAGGTATGGCTACCAATGATCTCCTGCATCGTCTATTTACCGATCATCACGAGCCAAGGGGTGGCAGGGTCAACTCGTACTTTAAGCTTGAATCAATTGGTGCTGTTCTCAAAGCCCTACACCGGAGGAACTGAATGTCATATGTTTGTGCTCGTGCTTTAGAAAGCTGCTTGGCTTGAACTATAAAGCCGCTCCATATGTGAAACTTGCCCACTTTCTTCTAACCAGACAGCCTAACACTGTCAAAAAGCATGAGATTTGGTCTATATTCGGGGGGAAGCCAATCAAATTCTCTCTACGCGAGTTTGTGATTGTCACATGGCTTAAATGTAGTTAGATATCGATAACATATTGTAAACTTAAAAGTAAATAGTTTTTCCCTTCATACATGTAATTACCTATTATATTAAATAACACTCCAAAACAGCTAGTAATCGTCCCTCAGTGTTAGTAGACAACTACAACATCTTGTACACTTACATTTAGTTTACTTTACTCATTTATCATTATAAACTCCCATCAGATCAAATAATATGTTACAATATAATATATGTGTACATTTTTCTTCATACATAAAACCACCCATCATTTTGAATAATACTACAAATTAGATAATAACCATCTATCAAAGTTAGTAGATATTTATTACTCTTTGTAGACTTACATTTAGTTTACGCTACTCATTTATAAACATACACATCTATCATATCAAATAACACGCTACAATATAGTATATGTATACGTTTACCACGTCTATAATATGTACATTCATTCTCCAAGTTATCAGCTGACATTCCACAAACCTAGGTGTACCCATATATTTTTATTTTCCTGTCACGTCTCTCAAAAATTCTTGTTGTAGCATTACTATATCGCATTAACTACACATCACCTCAGACTATTTCATGCACACGTCAGGCAGCGAGGAGAATATCTTGTCTCCTCATTTAATGCCAAACCGACAGTTGTCTGATTTTGCTAACACCTCTCCTTATTTTATTCAGTTGTACATATTCAGATAGCTTTTTACCCCATACGCATGCAATGGCATCAAACGTAAATAATCAAATCCACAAATCATTGTTCGTCACCCTTTAGCTAGTTTCTTCTAACTCATTTGAGTCTTGTTGTTTTCCTAATTAAAACCCAACACTTGGCTTTCTACCAAATTGTCCCAAAAAAAACACTAACCTAATTAATACCAAAACCAAAAAGTGGGAACGTAAAACCTAATCCCTGATTTTTTACCGTAAGAAAAATTGTCTTTTTGGTTAATGTCAGTCAAGAAATGTTTTTATTTACTGTTTTGTGCTAACTATAATAATGTTGTATCTTTCGTTTCTAACATTTAAATAGAAAATATTTTACCTAAAAATGATCATATGATCAATAGGAAAATTTTAGTTCACATGCGCATGCTAATGGGATCATAAACAATGTACTCGCTAATCGCTATGCCACATTATAAATGTCTCTATAAGGCTGTAAGCAAAGCGAACCTTGAGATCCATGGGACATAATTTCAGAACAACAACACAATCCTCTAGAGTTCGAGCTTCTTCCAGATTTGGTTCGGTTCTCTTCTTTCCTTTTCTTTATATTGCATTATTATACATAAAATCCCAAAATATTATTACAATTAACATCTCGAATGTCATATTATCATATAATGTTTGATTATTTTATTGACTTGACTTTGGTTCCAATCCACCTCCTCGTTTGATATGATGATTTATTGACTTGGTTTTGTAATGTTTGGTTCTCTGGAAAAAAGAATTGTTATGTATGTTTGCTTTTTTGTGAGTTGAAATAACAAACGAAAATGATTTGGTAAGAAAGTCAAGCTTAGGTTAGGGCACAAGATTTCCCGAAAGAACAAAATGCTAAGCCAACAGAGTACTTCAAAATTTCTTTGATACGTTGATGTTTACAGAAAGAATACAACTTGTATGCAATAAATAGAGAGCTTTTAGCCAAATTCATCGTCATCAATTTTGTTAATGCTCTCAAACCATGGGTTTAGGCTTCTGTTCCGGTGCTGGCCTTATAGATGTTACAGCATATGTGCTGTTGGTAAAATGAAAATTAAGATCCACTATATGGTCTTAGGTGTCAACTCTATGTTTATAAACGCCAAACGCTTGATGGTTACGATAACATGCATTATGCAGGTTTTATTCATGATGATGCCATAGTAATGACACTAATACAAATCATTAGGCTACTATTTCACATACTTAATTTTATTACTATAAAAAAAAAAAATTGAAGTAGAAACTAATAATATTATTAGCTTCCGTTAGACCAATCTACCTTGATGATCCAATATATGGTTTTTAAGGACATGGATGAGCGCAATGACATTCTGATATTTTCCCTTTCGGTTTGCAAGTTCCAATCCCTTTGGCGCTTTTCAAGGTACATACCTTCTCACACCCGGATTTATAACAATTCGCATCACTTGATACTTCACAAGAACAACGCTTTGCCTGTTTTAAATTTTTTTCACACCCATACGGTTGACAAATTTTTTTTGTATTTAGAACTTCAGAACACATTCTTTGTCCTTCTACTTGCTTCACCATGATCTCTATTGAAATAAATATTTAAACATAAAACATCAATTTCTATTTTTCAAAATAAAATAAATATTTATATTTGGAAAGAGTACTTTACTTATATTATAAGGCATTTGAAAATTTAAAAATCTTGATTTAACTTATTGGATTTTATTACAAAAATAATTTATATTTTTATTATTAGTATACCTTATTAGCAATATTATTCTATTATAAATTTGCATAGACAAGTAAAAGGCGTCAATCATTGTGAAAAAACAATATAATTGAAATATAAATATTTAAAAATAATGGAGTAAAATATATGACAAAAAAACTTGTTGCCTCAAAATTTAAAAATAATTATGGGAAATTATTAAATAATAAATAAAATTGAACATATTTTAATTTTATTATATAAATATTACAGTTTTAGTCTAGTTTTCTCATAAAAATATGATAAACAATTCATTAATGACTTAAGATAAATAAATAAAAAAATATAAATATAAATATAAATATAAATATAAATATAAATATAAATATAAGTATAAATATAAGTATAAGTATAAATATAAATATAAATATAAATATAAATATAAATATAAATATAAATAAATATAATATAAATATAAATATAAATATAAATAAAAAAATCATTAGAAATAAACCAAATTCATATACGAATATTAAAACTCTAGATATACAGAAGAATTTAGTAGAATGTATTTGAAAACTGACAAATATTTAATGTTTTTAAACTTATTTTGTTATTTCATGAGTGATCCATTTTTTGATCTTTTCATATTATTTTTACAGGTTTTAAAATATCTTATTGCCAGTCCACATATATGCATACCCTAATTTAATATGAAATATAAAATAAGATTTTGCTTAATGTAAGTTTTTGATCTATTGGTTTATACCAAATTTATAAGAAAGGTGGTGTATGAGAGAAAATTATATTAAAAAAACTAATTTAACAATAATATCATTTTGGAAAATTCAGAGTTTTGTAACTTAAAGTTGTATTTTAATATAAAATATAATAAAATATCAAACAATATATAAGCATTATAATAAAATTAATAATATATGCTCAAAATTTCACTTAAAATATTGTAACTTAAGGTTCATCCAAAAATTCTTTTATGGATATGTGGATATTTGTTCTTAACAAGTTTTTGATATTGTATATTTATCTTATTTTATAATAGATATTAGATTAATAGTGAAAATATAATGCAAAAGTAGTACTTGTGAAAATTTCCCAATAAACTGTGATCAACATGCACAATACTGGAGATGTAATTAACATAAAATTATCTGCAAACTTTTTTTGCATTGATATCATTGGTTTCCGTGTTTTTAAAAGTATAAAACAATAAATTTTAGTTGATTTTTTTTATATTTGGCAAGAATTTGAAAAATAAGTATTTTTGAACATTCAATAGAAATGTGTTAAATTTGCTGTTGAATTATATAAAGGAACAAATCTGTTATCTAATATTGATATAAATTTGACAAAACATAGTTGGATTTATCTTCTAAGTAAATAATTCAATAACATGTTCTTAACAATAATTCTAATTATTAATGATTATTTATAAAAAATGTTAAAATGGTTATAAATATAAATATAACCTGTATTGAGAATGGCGAAAATAGCTAAAACAGCGATCCAGGGTTGAAACAATTTACTCATCTTGTATATTATGAAAAAATTGGAAAATATTTATATATTTTGTAAGAAAATATGTTTTCTGATAAAAATTTAAATTAAGAAAGATGAACAAAATGTATATGAGTATATATAGACATATCTCACTTTTGATACATCTAATTAAAGTAAAAGATCTATTTTAATATATTTATGTGGTCAAAATGTATTGTAAGACTACATATAGACAAATCTTATTTTTGATATAGCTAATTTAAGTTAAGAAGCTATTTTAATATATTTTTGTGGTCAAAAAGTAATCTTTCTCCTGAAAATTTGGTTTTAGAGACTTGATTTTTCTTTGTTTTCTGATTTTTTTTTCTTTTTCAATATGTAATTTTTTTAGAACCACATAATTCTGCCAAGAACAAGTTGGTTAGAAATAAAAAGTTGACCATTTCAATAGATATATTGTGTAATGATTATATTATTAGTTCTCTCACTCTAATATATATAAGTTCAGATAAGACACTCCCTTTTGATTTAGTTTATTAACAGAAAATATCATTTATAACTCGAACTGTTGTTAATATTGTTATTACTTATAAATAACATTGTTTACCATCAGATTTTTAAAAACAATAATGTTTATCTGACACTACTATTCATATCTAATTTTTAAAGACAGCAATGTTTATATGATAGTTTGGGGAATTAATTAACCAATTACAAATAGTTCAGGAATTAAATGAACATTTTCCCGTTTATATGTCTTTGATATAATGTATGTGATTGATAACTTTATTATTTACCATATTTAAGCATACATTTAGTTTATGTTTTGTTTCTTTTCATGTATTCATTCATTATGTTTTGCTTCATTTGCATTTATATTAGACATGTTAGATTTTAAATTAGGCATTACATATTTTACATGGTTTAGAGCCTTTTTCAGGTTTAAATATAACTATAAAGGACACTTGTAGAATGGTGGATGATGTAGACATGATACATAACAACTGGTCCACCGAAGATGTGCCACGGCTCTGCTTGAATCGCACCTTAAACTTTTCCTTGAAGTTCTTCCAATGCACGATGTGCTCTCTTTCTTGTGCTCGTCTCCACCAAGTAACGACTACTCCGGTGAGACAGGTCACTGCGTGGTCCAGTTTCTCGGAATCTTGTACCCCGTTCATGGCGAAACACTTTTCCAGTCGAAAAAACCAGTCTTCAGGGTTATGACCCTCGTAAGCTGGAAAATCCACCCTTTTGGTCTGTGTGGTGAGTTGCGACAGATGAATCTGAGTCGGAGAAGGCTCTATTCTCAGCTCACGGGCCGCCATCAATGGAAACCCTCCCGGTGGTCTCATTTGGATCTTGTCGTTAGATCTCGGCAAAAGTCCTTCACTGCTGACTCGATCTGTAGTCGGATGAGGTGTTGTTGCTGGCGTGGGTTGTTGAGCGCTTGGGTTCGGAGTTGAAAACTCCATCTAAGTCGTCTTTGGGCCCCGAAGGCCTGGGTCCTCATAACGCTGCGAAGCGCCTGCTAGATCTAAAGAATCGCCTTTTCTGTCTTATCCATACGTTGCTCCAGAGTAACCATTGAAGCTGCGGATCTGGGATCTATTTTGTCGATGGTTGGTAAGAAAGTCATCGTCGAAATCTCTGAGTGAAAGCCCCCGTTGATAAGCACGAGGCTCACCAAGTAATAAAAGAAAGAGGATAAAAAGATTAGAAGAACAGATTCGGTGAGAAGAGAATAATAGAAAGAAAATAGATTAATTATTTTTGATATTTATATGATAAAGGACCCTAAACATGGTTCACTGTTTAAATACTCGATGCTACAGTAAACTACAACGATTACATTATTTGGACTAATAAGAGAGCCTCTCTTTCACAAGGAGTCTTCCAGTAACATCTTTTTACCCACCTTTCTTGTTCTCCTCTTCTCCAAAGCCCGAGCTCTTCTTCCTTTAGTCCGTGCTTTCTTCTTTATGAAGGCTAAAGGGATCTTGAGCCTATCAGAGTCTCAATGTCGAAGACGCCGCAAACTTCCGATTTTGTTCAATCAAATCATTGACTTTGACTCAGTTTCTTTTAAATTCTCAAAGTCAAATTTAATGATTTGACTGAACAAACTCGGATCCCATCTTCAGATACCGTCCGAAGATGAAATTAGGGGTTTCACGGAAATCTCGACGGAGAATCAAGCTTCCCAATTACACTCCATTGCCAAGGGTTTTTTTGTTCAATTAAATCATGGTGAGAGATACTGTACCCAGTTATCTTTGTAAGCTTACAAAATGAATGATTTTTATTATACAGAGAAGAGAAAACCCATGTGAACATGAGCTTTTTTTAGTCAATTCCCAAACCAAAGAAAGAAGAAAGTCTCTGGTCTCTGTCTACTTCAGCGTTGACCTGTTCATTAGCATTGATACAAGTTGTTTAAAGAAATCGCAAGTTGGCTTTTGTAGATTACTGTCTCTACTAGTTGTTTTAGATAATGATTTATACGTTGTGACTTGTGAGCACAACAAAAATGGTTGACATTGTTTCAGAAGAAGTTGACTTGGACAAAACAAAACAAACCCATATGCTCTTTTTGTCCATAAACCAGTTGCATACCAAGAGATGGTGTCTGCTTGAAGAACAGATATGATGGTATCCAAGGCGCTTACGTTCTTTTGCTTTATGGTTCTCATCAATCTTGCTAATGCTCAGGATCAAAAAGGTTCTGAAAGTTTTTTAAAAATCTCATGTTTTGGTCAAACAAAAGATTTTGCGCTCTTGTTTGATTGTGTTTGCCTTTTCTTGTTTTAAACATATGAATCATCAGGATTCATTAGCATAGATTGTGGGTTGCAACCGGAAAGCTCAAGCTACACGGAAACATCGACGGGTATAAAGTATGTCTCGGATTCGAGCTACACGGATACAGGAGCCAGCGGTTTCGTGTCGCCTGAGAACAGAGAAAACATGATGCAGAGCATGTGGTCTGTTAGAAGTTTCCCAGAGGGAGATAGGAACTGTTACACAATCGGTGTTAATGAGAGCACCAAGTACTTGATCCGAGCGGCTTTCATGTACGGGAACTACGATTCGAGAAACGAGATTCCGGAGTTTGATCTTCACTTGGGTCCAAACAAGTGGGACACTGTTAAGCTTGAGTCTCCTTCGCAGACAGTGGCCAAAGAGATGATACATCATGCGTCGACAGATGCATTACAAGTGTGTTTAGTGGATACAGGAAACGGTACGCCTTTTATATCGGCCCTGGAGCTTAGAGAGTTGCCAAATGCCTCTTACGTGACTCAGTCTGAATCAATCCAGCTCCTTCAACGATTGGATTATGGTTCATCAACAAATCAAACAGTCAGGTAAAAAAAAAAAAAAGAAGCTGGCTTTTAAAGTAGTTGAAAAACGCAACGTTCTTTAGATTCTTGAAATTTTGCAACTGATCAGGTTTCCAGATGATGATTTCGACCGGATTTGGTTCCCGTCCACACCAAATGGATCGAAGCGGTTAAGTTCCTCGTCGACCTCACTCTCACGGAACAGAAACGGTGATTTCAGGCTTCCACAAGTTGTAATGAGTACTGCGATTGTACCAGAGAGTGAAAGTGGGTCTCTAAGCTTTGGCTGGACTCCAGATGATCCTTCTATGGAGTTTTACTTCTACATGTATTTCACTGAGCTTCAAGAACCGAGCTCCGGTTCCCAGGAAAGAAGAGAGTTCACGGTTTCGTTGAACGGAAGGACTATCTCGCGGTCGCTAAGTCTTGATTACTTGCAAACCTTGGTCCTGCTCAGCTCAAAGCCTTTGGCGGAACAGAGCTTCGAGTTCTCTATCCGTCAGACTCGGAACTCAACTCTTCCGCCCCTTATCAACGCTTTAGAGACTTACTTTGTTAACAAGCTTCTGCAATCTTCAACATACCAAAACGACCGTAAGCTCTCTGCTGCTATCTGTTTTCAACCCTGCAACTTTTCTTGCTCTTATCTTACTGTTTTTCTCGTCTCTGAAACATTCTAGTTTCCGCTATGAGGAATATAAAGTCTGTGTATGGAGTCAAGAGAAACTGGCAAGGAGATGTTTGTGTTCCTCAAGCTTACACATGGGAAGGTGTGAACTGTAGCAACAATGGCACAAGCATGCCTAGAGTCATATCTTTGTAAGTGTCTCATATAAAGATTGAATCTGTTTTCTTAAAACCAAAGTGAATCTAAGCGGTTTATTCCTCGATGCAACAGAAACTTATCATCGGCCGGATTAACAGGAGATATAGCGTCTGATATATCGCTTCTTTCAGAGTTGCAAGTTCTGTAAGATTGTTCTCTTGTTTGGTAACAACTGTATGCAAAATAGTAGAAGTCAGCTCACGTGTTTTACCTTCAGGGACTTGTCGAACAACAATTTGACTGGACCAGTACCGGCTTTCTTAGCCCAACTTCAATCCCTGAGAGTCCTGTGTGTACTTTCTCAACCACACCTAACAGTAAAAGTAACTCTTAAGCTTCCTGATATAATAGTAAATTGACTTTATCTACTGTGGATTTTGCAGAAACTTGGCAAACAACCAGCTTAGTGGTCCTATACCGTCTGTTCTCATGGAAAGAAACGGCATGTCGTTTAGGTACTCGAAAACACTTCTCTTTATCGCTCATTACGAAAAGGCGTTGGATGATTTGAATTTATTATCCACTGTATGTGTTTATGTGCAGTATAAACGGGAATCCAAGTATTTGTCTTGATAGTGCTTGTGAAGAGAAATCCAAGAAGAAGAAACTTCCAGGCTTTGTCATTCCTTTAGTTGCATCACTTGCAGGGGTCATTCTCATTGCTGCTATATCTGCAGCTATACTGTTTACCTTCATGAGAAGGCAAAAACAAGATCGTACGATTAACAGAACTGTTACAGCTTCGAGTAATGGACCGTCGTTACAGAGGAGAGACACTGGCTCAATGCGTCCGTCTCTGCAGCGAAGAGAAACCGGTTTTTCGACACGTCCGTCTTTGCAGAGGATAGAAAGCGGAATGACGGATTATGAAGTGAATGATGATTTTGATTTGGAGCCGGCGAATAGGAAGTTCACGTACGCCGAGATTGTGAATATCACAAATGGGTTCGAGAGAGATCAAGGGAAGGTAGGGTTCGGAAGAAACTACCTCGGTTCTTTAGATGGTAAAGAAGTAACGGTCAAGCTTGTCTCTTCCTTGTCTTCTCAAGGCTACAAACAACTTAGAGCAGAGGTATAATAACAGTAATATGCCAATTTGTTTTTTTTTATAATTTTGTATGGAAAGGAGACTTTAGAAGAAGCTTATGTGTGAATATGTAATGCTGATTTGTAGGTCAAACACCTTTTCAGAATTCATCATAGAAACCTTATAACCATGCTTGGTTATTGCAATGAAGGCGATAAACTCGCGGTTATCTACGAGTACATGGCAAACGGAAACTTGAAACAACATATCTCAGGTTCTGATGAAATCTAACTCTTTCTTTTTGTCTCTACTGTAAACACTCTCTAAGGTTCTCTTTATGTTCTTGTTGAGGTAAAAACCATTATTGTGCAGAGAACAGTTCAACTGTCTTTAGCTGGGAAGATCGACTTGGAATTGCAGTTGATGTTGCACAAGGTATAATCACAGCAAGCTTATATCTGAAACCCTATCTCTCTCTGTTTCTTGGAGCTCTGTCTCTATAACAGATTCGGTTACAGCGACTAAAACTCCCTCTGTTTTTTTTGTAGGACTTGAGTATTTGCATACTGGCTGCACCCCACCGATCATTCACAGAAACGTCAAGTGCACAAACGTGTTCTTAGATGGAAACTTCAATGCCAAGTTAGGAGGTTTTGGCCTGTCGAGAGCGTTTGATGCAGCAGAGGGAAGTCATTTGAATACAGCCATAGCCGGAACTCCTGGATACGTCGACCCCGAGTAAGCTCTAAAGCTCAAAATCTTTGATGTTCTTCATTTTTTTTTCTGTTTATTTGTCAGTTAAAAATCTTGATCTTTGATTGCAGGTATTACACATCAAACATCTTGACAGAGAAGAGCGATGTGTACAGCTACGGTGTGGTTCTATTAGAGATCGTTACTGCGAAACCCGCCATCATAAAGAACGAGGAGAGGATGCATATAAGTCAGTATGTTGAGTCTTTGCTCTCAAGAGAAAACATCGTAGAGATTCTTGACCCGAGCCTTTGCGGAGACTACGATCCGAACTCAGCGTTTAAGACCGTGGAGATTGCCGTGGCTTGTGTTTGTCGAAACTCCGGCGAGAGACCAGGGATGAGTCAAGTGGTGACGGCTCTCAAGGAGAGTTTGGCTGTAGAAGTTGAGAGGAAAAAGCATTTGCCGGTCGTATCAACCGATTCAGTTGAAGAACTCGCACTTGGCTTTGGTTCTAATCCACCTCCTCGTTTGAGATGATTATTCTATTGACTTGGCTTTGTACCGTTTGATTCTCTTGGGAAAAAAAAAAAAATTTGATATGTATGTTTGTGTTTTTTGTGAGTTGAAAATAACAAACAAAACTCATTTGGTACCGATGAGGAAATCAAACTTAGGTTAGGGCACGAGTTTTCCCGAAAGAACAACAAAATGCTAATCCCCTGAACATTGTACACGAGCAGTCACACTTGCAACCAAAATAGCTAGACTTGAAAATTTACTTAATACAACTTGTTTATGTATATATTAAATAGAATGCAATAGGGTTTAGAAACCTGTAAACTCATCATCATCTAAAAGACAAAGAGCATCAAATACCGTTAATGCATGCTCGTGGGTTTAAGCTTCTGTTGCAGCAGCAAGCGTTGTCTTGGTAAAATGAAAAAGATCCTCTACATGGTCTACAAAGGTGTCAACTCTATGTTTGTAAACGTGAAACGCTTCATGGTTACCTTGGATCTCAAGAGTCTGGAGAGTGTTCCTTTCGAGGTTGAAGTAGAAAACACAAAACTGTTCTTTACATGTATAGAAGTCCGACAAAACAATTTCACCTGTAGCTGTCACTCCAGAAACGTAAACAGGGCGGTCAACGATTTCATTATGCAGCAAAGTGTAGGAGTTTTTCGACCATTGCTGTTTCTCCGCATCCTCTAGAACCCACACACAAAGCTCAACGCCTCCACGACGAACCCAGCTAATCGTACCTAATCTACCCTTATAGTTTATCAACATGGCATAGGAATATGATTGGACGCATTCAGAAGTGAATCCCGCGTCAAGAAACCTGAAGGTCTCAGACCTCACATCAAAGCAAACTATCATAAAATCAGACATTTCATCATCATCTTGAACTAAGAAATACAAAACCCCATTCAAGCATATGTGTCCTCCAAACCAATCCTGGTTGGATAAGGGACACTGGATCTTCCTCCAACTCATTTTCTCAGTTCCTAGCGTCAGAATCTTGTGATGATCATCACAATGTGGATGAACAACCAATACCTTGAATTGCTTGTCGATCGGATCAAACCCTAGAAAGCTTCTCGATGATCCGTGCGCTATCAGTTTAGGTAAGCTCGTGCACTCACCTGTGCTAGGGTTACATATCACATGCACTTTATCCACTTTCTCTCTTGGATAATGAGTGAAACATAACAAACCAGAGGCATGCTCACAAAAGACGTGTGGCCCCAAGTTTTCAGGGAGCTTCATAAGAAAATCGGCGGCTACGGCAAGAGACGAGGACGACTTCTCATATGGATCGTGAGGCTGAGGCGACGAGAAGATGCTCCACACGCCGTTTTCAACTTCTTTCATAGCGAATAAGAGACGCGGACGAGCCGAAGACCTGGCCAGGAACAACTCGGTGAAATCTTGACGGCAAAGTATGGACCTTAGCACCGACACGCCACGGCACATCCGTACTGACTTTGCAGGCAATCTAGAGAATATCTCGAGACTGAGATCAATCGGGATCGTGTCCATGATCGGAGGCAGAAACCGAGAAAGAGAGATGATAACGGAGGAGAGACGCTCTCTATAATATCTTCCGAACCGAACCGAATCGAGAATTGGCTAATTTGGTTTGAATTCCGGTTTAAATGTATAAACCAACCTGCCTTTGTTATTTTGTTAGGTTCTCGGTTCCTTTCAGCTACAAACCAAACCGGTAGATTTGACCTAATAAAAGCAAAGGAGGCCATAGACAATAATAGTCCTCGTGGTGACCTCTCTGTATATCAGCTGATAATATTTCTAAGCACCCAAATGAGAACAGTATTACAAGCAAAATGCTAAAAACTAAACTTCTCTTTATTCAATCATCTGTCAGGTCAAAAAAAAAAAATTACGTTTAACCTTCACAATACCTGTAACATCAATATCATTGTGGGAGAGGAGGAACATTAATTAATGATCTGTTCTGTCTATCATCATTACTCTAAACCGAAGCACTTATCTCAAAATCAAAAAAAAAAAAGAACCAAGATCGACGAGTTCAAGATCCTGTTACAACCCAAGAATCTTATGTGCAAGTTCCAGTAAGGGTTCCAATGCGCTCGGGGCAAACTTTCTAGCAAAGAGATAACAAACTTGAGATCGCTGATCATTGTAGAGACAGGCTTTAGCTCCAGGAAGCTTCTTGAGGAAAGTTTCCGTTATATCAGCCTTGCCAAAAGTAGCTGGATGAGCACCGCCGCGTGACCAATCTGTCCATGTCAATGTCCGGTTAGCCAGAAAGATCCGATGTTTCATAGACAGCATTGTAGGGAAGTAGTGTTCGTCAACGTAACACGGAGGTTTACAAAACTCTTTGAATTTTGGGTAGTAAGTTGTGTCTTGCACAATCTCAAGAGCGAGTGCCCGTTTGATTTCAAACCACTGAGACCCTTTTCTCCACTGGCCAAGTGTGATCTCAGGCTCCATCCCATCTCTGTATCTTCCTCTCCCATCGGGTCCTTCCTCATCAGCACTGCCCATGAAACTGTATCTTGATCCAGAGACATAACTGTAGACAAAGCTGAAACCGCGCAGAGGAACGCATGATTCAGACACCAGAACAAACCATTCGTTAGAGAAATCGAGCAACGCGTTGGCTAAAAGCCTCCTTTCAGCTTCACACATACTCATCTCTCCCCAATGCACAGCCTAGAAAGTTTCACATGTGTGAGTCAACACAACAAGCAAACACTTAACAAAAGTTGTTCATCTTAAAGCATCAATGACAGTGTATATACCTGACTTGGGATATATCTTCTGTAAAACACAGATGACCTTGAAAGATTCGACTTGTAATTAGGCAAGGCATGAACATAGATTGAGTAAAGACCCTCATGTCCTTTAAAGAACATCTCCCAGAGCGGAGCAAATGGTAAAGGCCCTTTGGTGAGAAACATGAAGGCCAGCTTAGGAACACGTTTAAACGGATACACTTTCCTCCGTGGCTCCATGGAAGCGCGCCAGAGCAATTCAGTGTCGTTCATTGTGTGCCAGACATTCGAAGGTGGCCTAATAAAGCTCTCTAAAGAAACAGTGCCATGGTCAAGCGCAGAGATCAGAGTGGTTGGAGCAACAGGAGCCAAAGGTTGGATCTTCAAGAACTTGATCATGTGCACACCAACAAGCGAGATCCCAAGAGTCAAAACAAGGAACAGCAACAAAATCTGAAGCAGACGCATCGACAAAAGAGCCCTTGATTGGTTTGCGAGCCTCGATTTTAGGGTCGATGCAGCATTGTCTTTAGCCCCTTCCTCTATCTCCACCACCGTCATTTTCATATAAAAGCTCACACCTTTCGGAAATCACTGTTACTTAGACAAGAATCCCAGTTTTTTGTGAGGCTACCAAAACAGTTTTATTTGCTTTTTATGTAAGCAATCCCAATATAATATAGAGTTTTGGTAACAAAATCCAATCGGACAAGATTTACGGAAAACGTTTGTAAGAGAAAACAAAGATGGGGCTAGAAACCCAGAAACGAAGGTTGGGATTTTAACTGAAGCAAATATTCGGAAGAAAAAGAGATGAATTCAAAAACTGAAACTTTGAATCTAGAAACGTACCGGAAGAAGAAGTAAAAGAAGAATAAGAAACAGGAAAAACAAAAAAAAAAATTGGATCTTTCTCAGTCACACATCAGAGTAAACTCTCGAATTTGAGCGTCTGATTTTGATTATGCTTCGACAATGTTTGTCTAATCAATCCACTGTGAGCATTTTCTGAAAAGTCTCATCTGATTTGTCGTCCTAATTGATCATAAGCATAAACCTAGGAGTTACATAACATCGTGCATCCTCTCATCCTCTGTAATTGGGTTGACTTAGCCCCATACTCTTATAAAATCCAAGTTTTGGATCGGGTCGGACCTGGATTCAAATCGGGTCGGATCATCGCTGTTGTTAAAACGTTATTTGATACTCTAAAAGACTAAAACTGTGTCAATACAATGGGCGTATCTGTTTGCCCGCAATATAGTTCTTACATTTCTTCGAATCTGCAAAAGCCATCAGATTCATTAACATAGAAGCTTCACATTGCAATAACATTTTATTGATCTTTACATGGAAGCAGCCTCTGTTTAAAAAAATGACATTTTTCGACGAGTAGGGGGAGATGAAGAAGAATAGAGAGCCAAGCATTGGCATCAAAGCTCATCTTTTTCGTTGTAACTCTTGTTCGGCGACGAAGTTTTCGAGTCAAGAAGAAACCTTGTGGCCATGGAAGCATGAAGGGAAGCACCGTAAGGTAGCAACTCTTCATTAACTTCGAAATACGGCGAGTGAGGGCTCGCCATTGCCGAGTGAGCTTCGTTTAGCATTCCGAGAAAGCTAAAGTGTCCAGGCATTGTCTCTTGGTAGAACGAGAAATCCTCCGATCCCATCAACGGTTGCATCTCGACGTAATTCTCACTCCCTAACATATCTCCTGAAACGTTCTTGAAAAACTGGTGCAGGCCTTTGTCGTTTACGGTCGGTGGGAAGAAAGGTTTCTCCCCTTGAAGAAAATTCACCGTTGCGTTACACATATGCACGCTCGCTTGCCTTGTGATTACCTGAAAAGAAACAAGAGAGGAGTTTAAACGTTTCCAACACTTGAGAGGGAAGACAAAAAGTCTCTCAAACTACTACAACATCAGAGGGCAAAAGTCACCGACCTGCTCAATTCTTTTCTTGAGTTGCTCAAAGCTTTTAGTTGAAAAGGCTCGGAATGTGCCACCGATAGTAACAGAGTCTGGAATCACATTAAAGGCACCACCGCCTTCGAATTTAGCAACTGTAACCACCTGCAGAAACTCACATGCTCATATATGGTTTCAAATAGAGACACTTGAGTTGAGAGAGAGTCAAAGATTATAGCTATATATATATATACCTGCGAGTCTAAAGGATCCGCTTCTCGTGAAACAAGGTGTTGTAAGCTAACGATAACGTTTGAAGCTGCTAATATCGGATCTATGGCGTGCTGAGGAAGAGCCGCGTGGCCTCCTTTCCCGCTTATCTTAGCTTCGAAAAAGCCACTACCAGCCAACAATGGACCTTCTCTAGAGCTCACTTGACCTAATCCCAATTGGTTCGTGACATGTAATCCAAAGATTGCGCTCACGTTCTCCAACACTCCGGCCTCCACGATTTTCTTTGCACCTCCTCCTCCTTCCTCAGCTGGTTGGAAAACTAGAATCACTGTACCCTAAGATGGTCCAAGAAGATGTACAAGAATCAAGATAGCTTCCAAAAGATTCCAAGTTTTGAAAAGAATCACTGTACCACACACACAAGTAGTAGTAACCTGTAGCTCATTTTGGTGTTCTTTGAGCAATTTCGCAGCACCAAGGAGCATCGTAGTGTGAGCGTCATGTCCACAAGCGTGCATCTTCCCTGGAATCTTACTCTTGTGTTCCCATTCCACCATTTCCTACACAATCCAACATCACTTTTTCCAATAAGAATCCACCAACAACTCAAGCAATTTCAAACAACATAGGAGATCAGATCTATAACTCAAATAAAAAGAGAGCATTTTTACTAAAAACTAGTTCCAAAGAAAATCAAAAAGCAGCTGAAACTCCAGAGAAAGACAATGATAGATCCCACAGAGAAACAAAGTCAAATCTTTCACTCAAAAAAATTAATAATGATTTGCGGAAAAGATAGAACAAATGTTCCTCCTTTTTGAGTATATCCAACACTAATCAAAAGCCACACTGTTCCATTAAGAAGCTGAGAGAAGAAGTCAAAATCCATTTTTTACTCAATCCAATTTTTTTTTTAAAATAATTGAAATCAAATACCTGCATAGGAAGTGCATCCATATCTGCCCTCAATGCAACAAAAGGGGCTTGACCAGTTCCAACATACCCAACAACACCAGTTACAGCAACTGGATACTTATATGACACACCCATCTTCTCCAATTCTGTCCTAACGAGCTTAGATGTCTCTACTTCCTCGTAACCTAATTCTGGGTTCTCGTGGATTTTCCTTCTGATTCCAACCATCCAATCGAAAAAATCATCTCTTTTAGCCAAAGCAAGAAACTTTGAAGGGATTTGAGAAAACCCATTGGAGGTTAAGGAAGAGGAAGATGAAATCAGACACGAATTGAGCAAGTGAATGATCAAAACAAAAGAAACCCATTTGCGGAAACCCATTGGCGATCACTCGATCGGTTGAATCAATCGACTGATGTCAGAGAAGATTGAGATCGAAGAGAGTTCTCTGCGTGATGATGAAGCAGGGAAACAGGAAGCAGAAACCGGTATTTAAATCCGAAAATATCGAAAGCCAAAGACAACACGGGAACTTTAAAAGTAAAAACAAAAACTTTAACTGCGTCCCTCTCTCTCTATTATTTTCCATAAAAAAATCTTCATTTTTTTTTTTGTAATTTTCTTCGATCCCCAAAATCAAAAAGCAAAAACATTCTTTTTCCTAGTTGATTATTGTGATCAATTTGATAACTGTTTGAAAAGAGTGATGTGATCTTCTTTGGATTAAAACCTAAAATGTAAATAAGCCAAACAAGGCGGTTCTACTTTTCTACATGTGACTCTTTTGGAGTTTCTACATTTGGAATTTGTAATTATAACGTCATAGAAATTAATATGGTCCAACAAATATGAAATATCCCAAACTCAACTCTTATTATAAACCTTATAAAACTGATTGATATATAAACGTTATGAAACAATAAAGTTTTGTGTCTTTGTCTCTTTGAGAGAGTGCATTTTCACTTTCTTTTTATTTTGGGGACAAAGTGCATTTCACTTTCATATACTGATTTTCAAAATCTTTTTTTTTTTTTTGGAGAATCATTTCATTTTCAGTTTCATTGTAGGTAATTGTGACATGTGAAAAGGAAAAAGAAATGAATGGTTGTAATTTAATTTGTTGGCCGGTCCATTTCTTGTTGATGATATAAACAAGCTAGAAAACACATGTAGAACGTGTTGAATGAACTTTATTGTAGATTTTTTTCTTTTATCATATATTTTTAAAAATCGTATATTGCAGAATATTCAGTTTGAAGAATTTGAATTTTGATGAATTTGAATTTTGATGACACAATGTTGAAGGTGATATCCACTACATTAGATTTTTACAATGAAAATACAAAAATCAAATGTACAAATCGGAAGAAAAAAAAGAACCAACAAGACTCACCCACAGAGTTGATTTACCTTTTCCATTGCTGATCTCTAAAAAAAAGTAAGTCTTAATCTTTCAAAAGCTTTAATCTTTTTAAGAGAAAAAGTTTTAATCTTTAAGAACAAAATAAAAATACAAACAATTTGAGTTAACCTGTAACAAGCAATTGTCTCTAAGCAGCAATCTCTCATCTCTCCGACCTAATCTTCAGTTTTACACCTCAACCACTAAAACTACTGCTATATATACATTTTGCTCACATGCAACTTCTCTTCTTTCGCTCTCTTCCCATTTTTGCAGCTCTCTGCAAAAAGTCTTTGTACTCAAAACAGTAAAACCCATCAGAGATGGCTTCCTAGTTTCATCTCAGTTTATGCTTCAAAAAAAGCCAAAAGTTTCTCATGTTTTGCCTGCAGATGGTAAAGCTCGGTGTTGCGTTTGTCTAGCTGAGCCTTTCAACACTTCGTTTATCCTACTGAAGACTACTTTCAACGGTATACAAGCAACAACCGTTTCCTTTGCCTTTTCTGTTGTCTGCTTCTTGCTTCTTTCCGTCAGCTTCTGGCTCGTTAGAGTGGAGAGCCGCCTTGTCTTTATCGAAAGGGAAGACGATTTCTTCTTTGACTTTCGTAAGGCACCATGTGATTTCCTCTTCTTGCCCTTCTTTTTGGGCAACGACTTCGCCGCCTTCACAACAGCTTGAGACATCATCGCCATGCCGTTGCAGTAGCCTTCTTCCAAGACTTCAACAGTTAGAGGATGCCCAACAATGGCTTTACCATTCAGTTCACTCATACGAGAAACCAGCGGGACGTTGCGAGGTTTGTTATAGCTGGCTTTTACCTCAATCTTCACCTCGTGCAGCACAGAAAGAGACAAAGCCATGTTGTTATTGGCTTCTTCGCCGTACACATTTCTTCTCGCTTCTTGTTTCTTACTCATCTGCCTTGAGTTCCTCTTTCCTTTTAGCTGCCACTTCGAAGTGTTCTTCTCAACCTCCCCGTTCAGATTACAATTGACTAGTTGTTCAGCTGGTGGATTTGTACAAGCAGATCCATTATTTACCTCTTTCTTAACAAACAAATCATGACTACTACGACCACTCCGTCTCGTCATACCAGAAACAAGATCTCTCCTCGGTGAGGAAATTGTGCAAGCTGCCGGAAAACCTAAAACAACAATGGATGTCAGCATAAACGTTCACAAACCAAACAGTGGCAAATGGTTTAGCCATAAAAGGAAACCACCAAATCTAATCTAAGAGACCAAAACTTTGAATCCTAAGGTGGTTGAGAAAACACAATATAGCAGATGATGAATGCAGAAGAAAGTTAGTCATAAAACAAGACAATACCAAATTTATACAGAAACCAATTTAGCTATAACATAAGTGAACCGCTTAAGATTACTAAAGCTATTTAGTTTTTAGCCAGGTGATTTCTTTCTGAGATTGGTCATATAACCTCTTTAATCTATCATGTGACAAAATCAACTTGATGACAATAGCAAGCTTTTGTTTCTTTACTTCCCATAAGAGGAGGCATGCAGATTCTTGCAACAAGAGCAACCAAAACATGGAAAAACATAAACAACCACAGACCACTTAGAGAGAGGCTTAACCACTTGTACCTGCCGAGTGTTTTTCTTCTCCAGTAAGTGGAACATCATACAATTGGTCAGAAGAATCATCCTCCGCCGAAACTGATACACTGGAAATCTCACTGTCTTTAGCCTTGTTGTTGTGGGAGGCCACGACAACATTTTCAGAAGCATTCTCGCATGAAATCTCGGTGCTGTCTGAGTTATTGTTGATTACGATAGATACACTTTTAATGGATTCGACAGAGTCCCTCCCTGATACTTTGCTGTCATAAATCTCCTGACAATCAGAAATGACAAGCTGGTCACAGGTAACAGGGACACAGACCATAGCTGTACTCTCTAACACCTTTGTCAATTGCCGGCGCCTGTTTTTCCTTTTAGAGCACTCATTTGCAATAACGATTTGTGACCTTTTTCTTTTCAGCGACAACGGAGAGCGTACCTTGTTCCCATTGGCAACAACAACGTCTCCATTCGACATTGAATCACTGTGGTTCTTCACATCACAGATCAAACCCATTTCTTGCCTATGCTCGACAATAGCGCCGACATGTTCTTTCCCAATATCCTCAAGCCCTCTCATTCGCTTAATCCCTTCAGTCCCATCATCTTCCGAGTCATTAGGCGTTCTTCTTCTCTTTGGCTGCACCTTCAAGGCTACAACGTTATTCATTTCTTGGGAAGACATACTGGATTGCAACTGCTCCACAGCCTCTCCTTCACCAGCAGAGTCCGAATCCTCCTCATCGTCTTCACCGGAAACACGCCTTTTAGAATCCTCCTCACCGGATGAGCTACACAGATTATCACCTGGATGATCTTCTTCTGCAAGATGAGCATTCTCAATCTCGAGAGCACTGTTAATGGCAACTTCTCGGCGAGTACACTTGACAGACTTCTTACTACTAGAGCTCGCGGCAGCAGCAGCAGCCTTTGCATTGTCAATGAAACCGTCATAATCTCCGCAACGAAAGGCCTTCACCGTCTTTGACTTTTCAAGAACATGCCATTCCCTGGAGTCATAAAGAACAAAACTTGTCTATTAATCTGCCGTAATGGCAATAACCAAGCGCACTAGACTGAGATTGTGGGAAAGAGAAAAGACTAAGACTCACACGCTAACATCGTCACGACCAAGAAGCTTTATTGGAGTGCCGATTTGTGGAGAAACCAGAGAGTTTTCAGGAACTTCGTCATGAACCAGAATCTGTCCGGGCCACCAAGAACCGTTACGGCGGCGAACCCAGACTAATCTTCCTACCGACGCATTAATCGCCGCCAAGTTTTGGTCATCACTAATCTCCATTGCAGAGCACCCAAAAAGAACACAACCAAGAAAGAGAGAGAGAGAGAGAGAGAGGGGAAAAAAAAAGCAAAACCCAGAGACGAAGTGGGCAAAAAAAACTTTTGAACTGACCTAAAAAAAAATCAAAACTTTATAATTTGAAAAATCTCAATTAAGCTACTCTCTTTCATTAGACAAAATCTTGCCCTCACTTGAATCCTGCAACCAACAAAAATCAGTGGAAAAGATTAAAGACTCTTAACATGCAACCACAAGCACTCAACTTGTAAACCAGTTGAAGATAAAATGAGAAGCTGGTTAAAAAGAGTTTCTTTAGAAAGAGAAAGAGAGAGAGAGAGATCTGGGAATAAAAGCCGTACCGAAGAAACAGAGATCCAGATACTTCTTTGACTACTCTGCGGCGTTTTTTCTCTATCTAGAGGAGGATTCTTCTATCTGACTGTCAATAAACAACATTCCGACCGCATTCTTCTGTGACTTTTTGCTCCGGCGGTTTTGAGAAGAAACGCAGTGAATGGAAGAAAAGGGTCAGAGAGGAAGAGAGAGAGAGGGCTTGTTTTTTTGGATGGAGAGAGAGAAAGAGAGAAGAGGAGGTCAAAAAAGCACATCCAAGGTGAGAGATACTCTAACTACAGAAGTAAAAACGACACCGTTCTCGGGAACTTTTGTCCTCTCCTTTAGGTTATATCTCTCCTTTACGTCACTCTTCTGGCCACGAGGCAAACTGAGTTCTATATTCAGACATATGTGTCAAGTTTGGTACTAATGACGGTGAGTCCGATCAAGATTCTCCTCCCAAAGTTTTACAATTTTCTTCGTTTAACATCAAACTCTTTTTTCCAAATTTTCGTAATGTATATATGTTTCACAATCAAAATCTACACAAACTGTGTGAGGCTGTTGGAGATTCAATGGTCTCTTAGCTGTACCAATCCAAGAACAAGACGGAGAAAGTAAGGACGAAGAAAAACAGCAAGAGAAAGGTTCTGCTGCTGCTGTTACGTTGGATTGCTTGAGAAAGCTCCTTGTTTCCAAGCTCCACGTTCTTTGTTGCCTCAACCGCCTGCAATTTAGTGTCAAGCTTGAGTGAGAAAAGGGCCAAAAGGCACATAAACACACACACACAAATAGAGAAAAACCAAATTGTGGAATTGATTAAACAAGTCTGAAGTCAGCCATCATCTGTAATTCTTCTGCAGCGTAGGAAAATCCCAATAACCAATAAACTAAAATGAATTTGTCATTCGAAGTTTCTTCACGTCACTATACATACTCTAGCTGAATACCACAAGGACAAGTATTGAATAGATATCTAGATTGAGCCAGTAAAGAGAAACATTTCTGCCTTAAGAGCAGGGAAAGCCTAACAAAACTAGGCGTTGGCATGAAAGCTTGGAGGAGCTATTAAGTCCTGACCTGGTCATACAGAATCTCTATCTGTTGGGCTTGTTGCAGAACATGAGTCGCCATCAAGTGGTTCAATGCAGACATCTCCACCATCTTAGTCTCCGTCTGCTTAGCACCATCTAAAAGATTACTTAGTTCTACCTGCAAATATTACAAAATCCAAGATTTTGTTAATTTAAGTACAAAACTCATGCAAGTTTTTGAAGACCACAAAAAAGCTGTCTTGTTACCTGAAGGGCTTGTGTTTCATCGTCTAGAAGTTGTTGCTGTTGTAGTCTACGAGGCTGGGCCTGAGCTTCATCCGGTTCTATGGAATCCGGATTCGCCAGAGTTGCATTAACTGGACTAGCTTCCTTTGCGATCCTCTTAGGTTTTCTTCTCGGCATCGCTCTGTTAATGATATCTTGGAAACGAGTAGCTCTAAGCTTGTCAAACTGTGCAGTGACTGAATGAAGTTTCTCGCTCAGAATCAAAACCTGTAAACATTAACTAACATTACACATCTACATACTTTGAATTAAAAAAGTTCAAACCAAAAAAAAAAATTACCAAGTTAGCTCACTAGATTTGTGCATATCATACCACTCCATGTTTGTGTGCTATAGTATCAGCATTGAAGTTATCCGCTGCGAGACCAAGCCATCCCTTGGAGTTTGCTTCTTCATTTCTAATGCTGTTTTTGAGAATATCAATCTGCTCTTTGCAAGCTTTAATAAAAGCAGTAATCTGCAAGAAAAAGAGTTTTGATGATATTACACAACACTTAACTAGACAATACAGGAGATACAAAAAATGTAAGATTTAAGTTCTTAAGAATCCATAGTTCCATATGTCAAATCTCAAGCGTAGAATTATGGAATCAGATTACTTACTTCTTGTTCAATGCTATCCTTTTCCTGTTCTGTAGTCCGATGCATATCAACATAATCCTTTCGATGCTTCAACATAAACTGATCCAACTCCTTGATGCTATCCAGCTAAATCAAACCATTTATAGACAAGTTGGTACCAACACCACAAAAGAAAATCATTCGATAATGCAACTTGCAAAAAACTAAGGTTCACCGTTTTGAAAGCAGCTTTCGTGAAAGGCGATCTCTCCTTTGGCTTGTGTATAATGAAAGACGCCATTGTAGATGCCACTTTCGACTGCCACACAACGCAAACAAATCAGATGATTCTCAATGAACACGATCTAGGAAACAACAACCCCCAAAACCCTAGAGAATGATCAAAATTGAGATGCAAACAAAACAAAATCCGCAATTTCTCATGAAATGCGGGACAAATAGCTTCAATTGAACGAGGTTCAAGGTGAAGAAAGGGAGTCGCACCTCGTTATAGCCATTAGAAACAGCGGCTTTCCGAACAGAATCCTTGAAATCCTCCGTCCTATCTCTGAATCTCGACATCTTGTACAGAAATTCAGATCGATCACTGCTTCTTGCGTATACCAATCACCCAATATCAAAAGAACCACTCTTTATTTAATTTACAAGAAGGCTTTTTGCTCCGGCGAAGAAAAGCAAGAGGAATCTAAGAAGAGGGTCTCTCAGGAGAGGATCAGAGAGGATCGGAGAGGAGACGCGAGGAGAGAGAAAAAAGAAAGACCTTTTTTTCAGAAACTGCGAATTAGAAGAAAGCAACGACACCGTTTTGGGGATATTAAAGCAACGACACCAATCTCTCGTCAACATCGCTCTCTCTTGGCCACGAAGCTACTCACCGGGACTGGCCCCATTGGTCGTTTGAGGTTCGTTTAAACGACAGCCAAGTGCAGTGTCCAAGTCTTGAAGAATATTGTAAGACTTTCTTTTATCTTAGACAGAGTTAAAGAGTTCTTGTTCCTGTCTTGCGACTCATTCAATTTTCTTTGCTCTATCAAAGCCTATATCATTAAATATTCAGAACAATCTGATCATTGTTGGACACACACGAGAACAAGAGATACAATTATTAGTCTTTCTATTACACACATGAAAACATGTAATGGATTCAAAAGTCTCAAAGCCCTTCAACAAATACGAGCTCGCATGTGGTTGAAGCTCGGGAAGAAAGTGTCAACTCCTTGATCATCTCAAGGTTTGGAACATCGTGTTCCGTTGTATCCGCCATGATTGTTGCCTTCTTTAAGCGACACGAGTTTTTCAAGAGATAAACGGCAATCTCTCTGTCTTGAGGTCTCCCAAAGTATGGTGCCCAGTTGAAAATTTCAAGACTCGACAACAAGCACTCAGGAACAGAACTCGGTTGGTTCCAGGGAACCATAGTATTAGTCCTTAAATCCCCATGTAACTAAGACCAAGCACAATAGTTAGATACAAACGATCATCAGGATGAAACAATATAAGTTCATGGAAGAAACTTACATCTAGTACAGAGATGTCTAACACTCGTAAGTTCGGAGAATCTTTGAGCATCTGGGCAAGGAGATTCGACGAATCATCTTGGCATATACATAGCTCCAGATGCTCAAGCTGGTCGAAAACAAAACCATCACCATACACATCCTGACAAATCATATTTTAAAACATAATTAGTAAAAGAAAAAGACTGAAGACTTTGTAACTGCTAAACGAAAAAACTAAATCACCTCTGAACATATTGTAAGATTCTTGACAGATGTGACTGATCCAATCACACTTTTGAGAGCAAAGGATGCAACATCCACATGTGCTTCCTTCAGCTTAGGCATATTCTTAAACAAACAAGGACTCTCATTCCAATCATGAAGCTTGAGGTATGTTAACGAAGGAGTATCGATCTCATAGCCAACTAAATACCAATGTTTAGATACAGAGAGTGATAACTTCTGCAAAGACGGGACAGTAACAGTGAACTTTTGCATATTGTCTTCATCCTCACAAAAAAACACCTCTAGATCTTCAAGAACAGGACATATAGAGAGAAGCTCTCCAAAGGATTTTCCATCTGCGTATGCCACACTTTCAAGCACCAAAGTTTTCAAAGAGGAAAGACAAACCATCGAGGGAACATCCATGAGGGTCACGTATCTGAGTTTCAAAATCACTAGCGATTTGCAGGCAAACAAGCTGCTCGGAAACATGTTTTCCTTGAGATCTGAAGAGTAAGAGACTTCCAGCTCACGAACACTGCGAGAAACTGCAGTTTCAACCCACCGTTTGATATCTTCAGGTTTAATATTTGGATCGCCTGACTCCCATAACTGAAGACGCAAGCTTTCTATGACCGGAGCTCTATGTAATGGCAGATTCTTGTCGATAAAATCCCGAAGTACAAGCAGTGATACATCTCTATCACGAAACTCAAGTTTAGGCAACCACATCCAAAGAAACCTCCATCGCTTAGACAAAATGCTAGTGGATGCAGCAACCTTTGTTGGAACAAACGATAATATGCTCACCAACAATTCATCAGGCAATACACTGGTTTCGTCCATATCTTACAAATTCAAGACTACTGCAAGAGCACAAGAAAACAAGACCATAAGACAAACAGCTTCGACTGAACTAAATTCAAGAGCAAAAAGGACACGCACCTCGTTATAGCCGAACAGAATCCTTGAACCCTCCTTCTTGTCTCTGAATCTCGGAAATTCGGATCGATCAGTGCTTCTTCCGTACTTTATTTGGATTACAGAAGAAGGGGTTTTGCTCTGGCGACTCGGAGAAGAAACCCAAGTGGAATCGAATCTCAGAGAGGAGAAGTGAGGAGAGAGAAAGGTCTATCCTTTTAAAAACAGAAAAGAGCACATTCAAGACAAGTGTGAGAAACTCTCTATCTGCAGAATAAACGACACCGTTTTGGCGATCCTAAAGTTCGCTGCTTTAGCCTTTAGGTCAATCTCTCGCTAACGTCGCTCTTGGCCACGAAGCGACTCACTGTGGAGTTCGATATTCAGACAATCTCAAAAGCTTCCCAGGACAAAGGTGTCAAATTTGGTCATCATGACGGGTAAGTTCGATCAAACCCCTTTCGAAAAGTTTCATACTTTCTTCGTTTAACATCGAATCTTTAGCCACCAAGCTTTATCATTGGAGAGCTATGTATCTTTGAATCCATGGGAGAGCAATTGGATTCCGATTGATCTCGATTTCTGTCTGATAAAATGATTTTGAGAATTTTGTTTGTGGGTGTCTTTTTGTAGAGTATAAGCAAGAACAGGATATGGAGATTGAAGCTCTCGAATCTATACTTGCGGATGACTTTAAAGGTATTTATTGTTTCCTTTTAAAGATTTTTCAGTTTCATTGTCTGTTCATCGTCGTTGAGCTGATGTGAGGGCAATACTATTTGTCTTGTGGCAGAAATCCATTCTAGTGAAAGTGGGCTCAATACTTCAAATCGATGCTTTCAGATAACAGTGACTCCTCAGGTATTACAACATCTCTTTTCTCCTCAGCTCCTTCGTTACTTACTTTTTTTGTGAAGAGCTTATTGTGTTTTAGCAATTTAGCTCTTCTTCTGATCCTCTGTTTCTACGTATAGGATGATGATCTAGAGGAGTCATCGATCCCACCAGGTTACTACTACTCTTTAAGAAGATCACTTGTTATTAGCATATACCTCTCTTCTGTGCTTTCTTAGTCTTAGAGCTCTCAATTTTGTCTTGCAGTTCAGCTGGGTTTGGTTTTCTCGCACACGGAAAACTACCCGGACGAGGTTCCGCTTTTGGATGTTAAAAGGTAATTCTAGGTTTAATCAAGCTATTACACAGATATACGATGATGACACTCATGCTGATAGAGTGCTCTTCCAGTATTCGAGGAATCCATGTTAGTGACCTCACCATCTTAAAAGAGAAGCTTGAACAAGAGGTATAATCTCTCTTACAATGTTATAGTTTGGTATTGTTTTCTTTGCCTGAATCACATTAAACACAAAAGAGTTACTCAATTGAGTTTTTGATGAGTGGTTTATCATCATTATAACTAAGAACTTCATGACACCGTTTTCACAGGCAGCTGAAAATCTTGGTATGGCCATGATCTATACATTGGTCTCATCAGCAAAGGACTGGGTGTCTGAACACTATGGGCAAGATGATGGAGCTGACTTTGCCGAGGAAGAAGCTGCGAAAGAGGATGAGGTACTGTTGTTTGCTCAGTGTTTTTTTGGATGTATAAAACTGCAAAGCACCTCGAGTGTTGCTTCAATGATATAGGCTACGGTTTTTGTTCACAATACTTTCTGTCTACAGGTAATTGTTCCTCATGGAGAACCTGTTACGCTGGAGACATTTTTGGCGTGGAGAGAGAAGTTTGAGGCAGAGCTTGCACTTGAGCGAGCCAAGTGAGTAACTCTTCTTCCAAATTCTTGTTCCCTTGCTCTTATATATACCAATGAATGGTATTGTTATTGGCTTCTTTAGTTATTAATGTTTTATCTGTGGCCGTGAATGAACTTCCAAGGCTGATGCCGGAGTCTGCTCTTGCCACAACCAAGGAGAAGAAGCTTACAGGGAGACAGTGGTTCGAGAGTGGCAGAGCGGTATTTCTTGTTCTAACTCACTAATTATCAGAATCTTGTTGCAACTTCTTTTTCTAAACAAATACTATAGAGTTGTTAACTTATCTGTCTTGTGCCATTTTCAGAGAGGGGCAGTGGTCACTGCTGATCAAGAATCTGAGGAGGAAGATGATGATGACATTGACTTTGAAGACGAAGATTTTGAAGGTAAAGTGGTCTTTCTGTTTGGTTTAGACGCTGCTATCCCACATAAACAAGTAATGGTTCTCAAAATTCACATTCGTTTATGTGGTACAGATGACGAAGAAGACATGCTTGAGCACTATTTGGCGGAGAAATCTGATTCTTCCGTTCCCACAGCAAGGGCCTGAAGCGAGGGAGCCTTATATAATGATTGTTAAAGCTCTTTTCTGGATAGAGATGATGATGCAAAGAGACTGGCCTTAGATTGAGCCAGCATCCAATCTCCATACCCTCAGTTTTCCCAGCTTTGATCTGCTGAAGAGTTATCTTGAGAGTTACCATATACCTTTATCTTATATCACCTTCGTTCACAGTGTGTTCATTTATAAGAACAAGTTATTAGAGAATGCCAATGATTTTGTAACTTCTTTTGTTTAGGATCAGCGCAAAGCAGAACTCTCAGTAAAACCCTAAAAGACAAATAGTTGAATCTTTATTTTAGAATCCCTTGTTGAAGCTCTGGGTCATCAGTATGTTGTTCAATTCTTTACTTATGAAGTCAGATAACATATAAAGCAATGAAAAGTTGTGTCTATAGACGATAAATGTTAATGCTATCGAAGTACTGTATGTAGTTTCTAAATAGTAACATAGGTTGCATCTAATATGTTACAGAGAGTCCCAATATGCCTTCCTCATATTTCAGCTAAACACAACCTTGGTCCGTCATAGCTTGAGCTATGTTTAAAAATGCTGCAATTGTTGCTCCGTGTAAAAGTGCCCTGTCATGGATTCCAGAACAAGAAGAAACCATTTCTTAGTAAACCAAAAAAAATGTAATTACGGATTCACAATAGTACACGCAGCTTAGACCAACAGGTAGGTTTATGATGAGGAGAAAAACTTACTCGGGACTTTCTTTCTGATAACCGAAATCATTCGCTGCTTTAAGAGCTTTCTCATACGTCTGCTTCAGTGCTTCCTGTCAATACCACAGCAATTATCTTTAAATAGGCAATCACCACAGGCCAAAAAAATTGCGAAATTCCAAAAGAAATGTGAGAGATGTTACCTGTAATCTAGACTCAAAATCTTCTGCTGACCACTGCATTGAATTAGATTCACGGAGTACTTCGATTTCTCCAGCGGCAACCTTCAACAGAGTTATGCAATTTAGCTATCATCATCATCATTTGGACAATCTATCATCATCATATATAGTTATGCAAACGAAAGAAAAAGATAGGAAACAATTCCTCTCCAATGCGTAGTGTCATAATTTAATGATGGTAGAGATTAATCATCACGTATAGGTGAAGTTGTAATGTTGATGAAAGATACTAAGATGAGTTAAAGAAGAACTCACTCCTCCAGCTCCAGCAGCAATGGCAGGAGCAATCAGAACATTGGCCTTTCTGAAAACATCAACTGCTTCAGCTGTACACGGCATGTTTGAACCTGCAGAGAAACACATCCATTCTAGTTAGAATAAGGTGCACTAAACAATTTAGGACACAAACGAGAAGCTCTACCTTCTACCAGTAAGCGACAGCCTGCGTTCACCAGATTAATCGCATCTGCTTGATCAACTTCATTCTGCGAAGCACAAGGAAACGCCACATCACACCTTTCATTCCACGGCTTTACTTCATCAAAGTACTTTGCCCTTGCATAGGTCTTGGAATAGTCTCTGCATGATAGATGCGTGTACAGTTGGGATCAATGCCAAGTGACAAATACAATAATACTGTGGAAACGTATATACCTCAGACTTCTCTGTTGGGATTTTATATCTCTCAAGAATGCAAGTTTCATATAATCAAATCCATCATCGTCCACCAAATATCCCTTTGAATCTGTGACATAAATCAGTTACAATTAAGCTACATAAATCAGTTACAACTAAGCTACATAAATCAGTTACAATTAAGCTACATTTTTTCTTCCCCATCTATGGAACTTGATTGCAAAGCTAAAACTAGATCCTTTTTAGAGTATGTTAGTTTTTGATCCAGGATCCACTGGCAATAAACTATGGGTTCAACTTGAGACCTCTAAGGCCTGGCCTTGAAACAAAAGAGCAATACATATAAGCCACACCTGACTGTTCATATGGCAAACTAGGCACTATATCGACTCTGAGCTCAACTAAGAGCCACTTATAGAACCATGAGATACTGAAAACAACAAAAAAAGCAGAAAAGCTACAAACTTTGCTTGCTTAAAATCTGAAATGATAAGGTGAGTGATCACCTGAAACAGTAACCGGATGTGCCCCACAAGCAATTAGCTTCTCCACAACATGCATCGCAATCTTCCCGCAACCACTCACAACACATCTAAAATAAAGTTCAGAAGGGTATGGTTTCATAAGTTGAGAGTCGCAGAATCGAAGACAAGTCACATAGCTCCAGTGCTAAGTCAGAAGCCAAAGATTCAGAAAGATTCGATTTTTTTACAGCCTTTTAGGATTGACAGAAGAATTAAAAAGAAGTACAAAGTGTCGGAAGGGATAACACATAATTCATAAGTATCTGGCTGATTAGATAAACTGTACGATCCAGAAATAACATTGGTAACTAGCAGGATACCACATGATCGAGATGAGCAAGAAAGAAACCTTAGTCCCTTAATTTCTTTATTCATGTCTGCAAGCATAAGTCGTGCAAAGTACACCTGAAAGAATGCAAATGAATTTGAGTGAGTCTTCACATGTGAATAATGTTCTTTTGATTAAGCAAAAGATTTAAACACCCCTTACCACGCCATAGCCACTAGCTTCAGTTCTGAGGCTAGAAGCAGCCCAATATATCCGTGGTCCTGTAAAACTTCCCTGCATAAGTAATTGACACAAAGATATAACAGCCAAAACTCTTTATAGTCTCTCAACAGCAAAAACTGATGCAAACATATGATTACTGGAATAAAACATCTGATGGCATATAATACTGAACTGTCGAGGGAAAAAAAAAGAGTAAGAGAGCATATACAGATATTAGTAGCGACATATTTTTCCCTCCACAATTACATATAAAGCAAAAAAAAATTGATTTAGGAAAAAGAACCAAGTCCAAAAAACTTGATTGCCATTTTGTTGCCAGAAAAAAGGCAGGAGGTCACCAGGAAATCAATCGAGCAAAAGCCTCAGCGTCAGAATTTTCAGTACCTGAAACTGACCCGCAAGTCGTCTGTATTGTCCGAATAGGTATCCCATTTCCCGAGTACCGACACCAACCTCCTCTGACGGAAGGTCCTAGCATACATAATAGATTAGAAAATCATTGCAGAAAGGAAATATACTTGCTAAAGGGAAAAATCCGTTCTACTTACTTTGTCAGGACCCATATATCTGTACATCTCATTCATGAAACTTTGGCAAAATCTCATGATCTGTGAATCAATGTTTTAAAACAATACATTAGAACATCTATGGAGGATCACTCGAGTGGACAAAATGCGATGGGCGAAGATGTCACCTCGTTGTCACTTCTTCCTTTAGGATCAAAGTCACTTCCACCGGAAGCCCCTCCCAGTTTATATGGTGACAGAGCATTCTTCAATGTCTGCCAAGGATCACAAACAAATTACAATTCCGAATATGCAAATGGCAAGTTAAGGTAAAACAAAAGAGAAATCAGAGGGAAGATAATATAATATTATAGGTGGAAACCATTGTACCTGCTGAAAGCCAAGAAATTTGGCAATACTTAAGTTCATGGATGGATGAAATCGGATACCTCCCCTACAAGGACCAAGTGCTTGGTTAAACTGAACTCTAAAGCCTCGGTTTACATGTGTTTCACCACGGTCATCAATCCATGGAACTCGAAAAACAATCATACGTTCAGGTTCCAATAGCCGCTCCATGATATTGACATAACTGAAATAAATCATAATGGAACCGTGTGACTTGAATGCAGTGTGCTGAAACCATTACACAGAGATGAGAAGCAAATCGTAACTTACTGAGAATTTTTTGCAATTACCCGCTCTAGAGCATGCACAGATTCTTGTACAGACTGAACAAATTCAATCTCATTAGGATCTCGTTTCAGGGCACCCTCAACAATTGAACCAGCACTCTTTGACATAAGAGCTTCATTTAGAGGGAAAAGCACAAACAGTTAATAAAACAATTAGTAGGGAAACACACTAGCCATGCCATACATAGATATATACATCAAGTGGAGCAAGACCAAAACAAAAACCCAAGGAGTCAACCTTTTTTCTTATTAGAAAACGAAGAAGATGATCTCTATCCTGATCACAAAAATATAAACTCCAAACTTTATGAGAAAAAACAAAAAAAGCAGATACCAAAACTAATGAAACAAAAAAAGCAGACATACGAAGCACAAAAATAAAAACCTGAATATGTTCACGTTTAACAAAAACATAAGAATCTACAACTTCCTCTCTTTCATGAAAAAATGTGCATATTAGCATCTGTCAGTAAAATATTTCCTCAAGAGTTGGTTCATTACATCACTCAAACCTGGAAATTTTTCTAAAACCGTATAAGCAAATCCTTTTTCAGAAAATAGAAAGAAGAAAGTTCAAAGACATCCAAAATAAATGCAAGGCATACGTAAACACAGTGTTAGCTGAAAGGTTGTTATGTACAAGGTTGGTTAGATGGAACACAAGGAGATGCAAACGATCTTAACTCACTACAATAGAAAATAAAGATCAAATCACTCAAAAGCAATATAGCAAATCACTTACTCTTCACATAAATGGGCTTGTCAACAACAATCTTATCTTTGGAAGCCGTTTGGAGACGCAGGGCCTCTTTGTGTAGCAAACTGTTGTTATGCTCTTCTAATGCACTCATCTGCATGTTTCTACTTCCTTCATTTCCGTAAGGGTTTCTTCGATGCTTCCTACCATACTCTCTGCAGATAGAGCAGAAAATCCTAGCCGTTCCATCCTTCATATCGACGTAAGCCCACTTGTAGGTGTCAGCCCATTCCTCTCTCCACCGTTTAACAACCTTCTTCTTCCTCTTCGCCGGCTGCCCCTTCGACATATCCTGGTCCTCGCTTGGAAGATCAGATACCAAAACCATATGCTTCGTCTCATCATGTTCCCCAGTGGAAGGCTCCCGTGGAGGCCCACCGATCAATGAACTGTTGGCAAAAGCAGCGTCATCCTCTCCAGGTCCAATCTCCAAATCAATCTCTTCCCCAAGGTTGCTTACCACAAGCTGATGCCTTTGCGCCTGCTGGATTAAGTTCATATCATCCATTGAGGGATTCATCCCCAACCCACCTGTTGGTCCAAACATTCAGCATCACAGTTTTAACTCCACCGTTGGCTTCTCGTTTGCTGACTAACAACAGCAACTGTATCTTACACTTGGTACTACACCAGAGATGATAAACCTACAATTAGGACAAGGCCAAACTTTAATTTAGAATTTTTTTCAAAAAAAGGCTGTTCTGTTCTCATGAAGGACAGAACAGCCACAGTTAAGTTTCTCAGCATATCTCAGTAGCATACTAGACTTCATGTACCAAGAAATGCACAAAACAGAGGCATCAAGCAAGAATATTACAATATTAACATAAAGTGTTGTGTAGTCAGATACTTGTATTAAATCCATTTGATTCCTCAAAGCTTGTGAACATATTTCGGGGAGAAATCGATAACGAGCTGATATTCTCTCACTTAAGAATCATTTGAACATCAAGACTCCTAATTTATGACTCCAGCGATGATAAATTTTCAGAACCAACTCGAAAAGTTTGTGTATTTGTCATCAGAACTCGATTCCAAACTCAAATCACTTCAATCAAACCAGAATTTTACTGGATACCTAACAAGGTGCGGCACTTGAAACAGTGATCAAATCTATCACATCTATCACAAAATCAATAAGCTAATTTTGGCATTTCGAAAGGATACCCAGAGATTCGAGACTTTGAAAATCCAATACCTGCTGAATTTTAGCAGCGAAATTCGTCAAAGTCCAAACAAAAGGTAAACTGAAGAAACCCAAAAGGAAAAAGAAAAAAAAAAATTGCAGCTTTACTTTGCCTGTAGCGGCGGGTCGCTGAAAAAAGAGAAACCCACAAAGACAAATTGTCTCTAAAGACAAAAAGAGACAAAAAGATGCTCTGCTCCAACTTGTCGATGGTTTGCTTTCGTCGCCGATTCTGATGGAGGGGCTTTGAGCGGGGATATAAGATAAATCGACCAAATCGATTTGTTCCAGACGCAATTATATAAAGGATACCAAACCAAAAAGAAAATTCCCAAATCAAAAGGTTAAATATATATATATAATACGATGAACTTAGAACTATCAGTCTAATCTATATAAAAATTGAAGGTATAATGCATTGAGGACGTCCACATTGATTTAAAAAACTCGATCTGATTAGTCCACATCAGCATATTCATTAAATAAAAAAATATTAAGTATGATTAGGATGGAAAACTTGATTTAATTGGTCTACATCAGCTTTTAAATCAAACCAAAAATTATTAAGTATAATTAAAATATTAAAAGTTAATTTAACAAATTATGTCCAACAAAAAAAGTAAATTCAATCTAATTGATCCACATCAACATATTTATTAAATCAGAAAATGTTAATATGGTTTAAAATTTTAAAAATTAAATAAAAAATTAACAATTAACAATATATGTTTAAAAAAGTAATCATTATCAATTTTAAAAAATCTACAACAACTCTATTTAACAATTAAAATAATGAAAACTGAATAAAAATATAACATAAAACTCTTGGTAGACATGATGGAGAAGGAAAAAATGGTTTTGCATGATCATTACAGCTTCCTAACAAAATTAAATGCGAATCAATATGAATTATAGATTATATATGCTGTGGTACACAACATCAATAAGACTTTCGATAAAAAAAACTAAATATTTGAACACATAAATCTTTAAGAAAAAAAGAACTATAGAAATTCTATGGAAAACAGAAAATAATACCAAAATATTAGCAAAATTATATTTCTCTAAATCAAATGTATATTTACGCCAAAGTTGGATAATTCGATATGTGTCATTGATATTATTTTACCTAATAGTTATTTAAATTTTATAAATAAAAATAGGATAAATAACACATTATATATTAAATTCTCTTATATAAATGAAAATTTCTATAAATATATTATATTTTTAATAATTTTGAAAAAAGTAGCTAAAAACAATTAAACCAAAATATTAATACAGACTCGCGCGTAGCGCAAATCATATACCTAGAGTTTATAACAATTTAAAAACAAATCTACAACAACTCGATTTGACAATCTACAACAATTTAAAAAAATCTGTAACAACTCGATTATTTTTTATATCAATTTAAAAAATCTACAACAACTCGATTTAACAATTAAAACAGTGAAAACAGAATAAAAATATAACATAAAACTCTTAGAAAACATGATGGAGAAGGAAAAAATGGTTTTGCATGATCATTATAACTTTCTAACAAAATTAAATACGAATCAACATGAATCATGGATTATATATACAGTGGTACACAACATCAATAAGACTTTTAATAAAAAAACTATATATTTGAACACATAAACCTTTAAGAAAAAAGAACTATATAAATTATATGGAAAATAGAAAATAATACCAAAATCTTAGGAAGATTATATTTTTCTAAATCAAATGTATATGTATGTCAAAGTTAGATAATTCGATAGGTGTCATTGTTATTATTTTACCTAATAGTTTTTTAAAATTTATAAATAAAAATAGGATAAATTACTCATTATATATTAAATTCTCTTATATAAATGATTAGGGCGTAAAAACTTGATTTAATTGGTCAACATCAGCTTTTAAAGCAAACCAAAAATTAAGTATAATTAAAAAATAAAATTAATTTAACAAATTATGTTTAACAAAAAAGTAAATTTAATCTGATTGATCCAAATCAACATCATATCTATTACTAATAAAAATTGATGCTAAATGCTTCTAAGAGTGTCCACATAAGATTTAAAGATTCAATTCTATTGGTACACATCATTATTATTTTTAGTTAATTATATATTGTATATTAAAATTAATTAATTCGTTTTAATTGTTATAAGAAAATTTTCTAAATTTTAATTATTTTTTTTGTTTTTATTAGGAAAGTTTCTAAATTTTAAGTTAGTTATTAATAAAAAAGAATTTTAAAAATAGATATTACTTTTCTATTTTCAATAAAAAGGTAAATTAACATATAAATAGATTATGAAAGAAAAATCATATATATTGAACAAAAGTATTAAAAACTGTATTTAAAACCATAATTAAAGTATTTAAAATTTTAATCACGACAAACAATTAAAATCTGAACTGCTAACTTAAAATATATTAATTGTGGTCCGTGTTGATGTCTTAGACCAATGAGAGTGTCCACATAGGACATATATACTCAATCTGAATCTATATCAGCGTTTTTTATTAAACATAAAAAATAAAAAATATTATTAATAATTTAAATAAATTAAAACATACAAAATATAAAATTATCACAATAGAATAGAAAATTATGATAATATTTTTAACTAAATAAAATAAATTTATGTCAAAAGTCTAAATCTATTATGAAAATAAAATGGAAACTCATTGTAACAAAAACTAAACAAACAAAAATAAATATGTAAATCAATAAAGAAAAAGTTAAATTAAAAAACAATTAGCATATGTATTTAAAATGAGTAATTTATTTAGAAAAAATATTAATATTAAATATTCATATAAACATAAAAAATTGTTATTTAAAATATAAATACTACCAAAAAAACATTCATCTTAAATTATCAAAAAAGAAAGTCATCTAAAACTTATAATTTTTGGGGAAATATTTAAAAATTTAACACAAAAATCTTAACAAACTGTAAATGATAATTTAAACTAATTACTGAAGAAAGCAATATAAAAAAATGTTTAACTTACAAAAACTAAAACATAAATTATATCTTACAACATGTCAATACAATTAAAATGAAAGTCCATATCGAGAAAATTAAATTGATAAAAAAATAGGATATTAACTTAATATCTATGTTATTTATTTAACAAAATCAATATAAACAGAATAAGTAAGAGAATTAAAAAAATACTAAAAAACTTAACTAACAAAAATAATATAAACATTTAAGCTAATTATTTAAGAAATCAATATTAAGAAAATAATTAACTAAAAAACTAAAACGAAAATTAAGTTTTACAAAATATTATTTTTTGAAAAAACACTTAAAAATATATTGACTTTATATCAAACTAACTACTTTAAGAATACATATAAAAATATTTAACTAGCAAAAAGTTTATGTCTTTAAAATATCAATATTTTAAAAACAATGGTGTGTTAAAGAAAACAAAAATAAATATCAAGAGAGGTAAATTATCAAAGGAAAAAATTATATAAAGTAAAATTAGTTTGATATTTACGCTAACTACCAAACAAATATTAACTAAAAAAACAAATGATGGTATAAGCTTTTGAGAGAAGTTCACTTAAAATTTAGAATAAACAGTTATACCATGTTAAAATAGCATTTTAATTAATTTAACAAAGAAAAAACAGTTATGTAAAAGATATTAGATTAAAATTTATGCTACTTGTTTTAAGTATATCAAACCTTCAGAAAATTAGATAATTAAAATAAAATATAAAATTCTCATCAAAGATATTTAAAATAACAAAAAACAAGAACAAAGAAGAAAATTAGTTTGAAATATAGTTCCAAAAACATTGATGTTGACTATGAATAGCCATATAAAATTTTAATAGGTTATACAAGTTTTTAAATCAAACACATTATTTAAATTTACAAAGATTAATACCTTGGTTGCATCTGATTAAAAAATTAACAAAGTAAAATACTACACAAGTAACTTTACATTCAAAATATAGTTAGTGATAAAGTCTGATTTGTATACATATTTACTGCTTATAACTTAGTCAACATGAACATCACATGAGCAACATCCTCTAAATTTTTATTTAAATAATATAATATGACAAATTTATGAATCAAATTCAAATGAGAATATATGAAGATAAAATATTCAAATGAAAACATGAATAAACACACAAAAAATTAAAAAAAAAACAGTGATAATGTGAAGTCTCAACATCATCTTACATATTTAAAAACAAATATTAGCAAATAGTTGACTGCAAATAAAACATACCTTATAAACTGAATAGAGATATAATCTAAAATTCGTAGAAGATCTGGTGGAGAAGCAAAAAGCAG